AGCCCCTCCACCTGCCTGGACCTCAGGCTCTGAATCCATTTCCCCCAGAGGAAATATGTTCTAAGCTTGCAGTAAAGTTTCAGTGGCCCAGTCCCAGCTGCTAGCCCCAGCCAGCATCATAATCTTCTTTACTTAGCTCCATCGCATGTTGAGTTAACACCCCGACTCCCCAGAAAACTTCCTCAGCCAGGGTTCGGGGTTGGAAGCTTGGAGCCTATGCTCATGGTCCCTTCTAGAGGGTTCCACTCCCCTTCAGTTGCCAACCTGCACCTTTCTGAGGGGCACCTACCCCACAGAGCCGAACACCTCTTCCACCCCACTGCTCTGCCCTCCCACTGCCACCAGAGATGCTGGGGATAGCACTTCATCCTCTCCTACAACTGAAGCTGGGAGAAGCATCATCCAACCCTGCGAAGGCATTTTTGGGGCAGTTTCTTTCAGTGTTGAGTACCCCATGGCTTCACTACAGAAGGGCAGCCTCGGCATTGCTTCTCCTTTGCCACCGTTCCCCTTGTCTCATCTGCACCATCTCTTACTCCCTGCTTTCTCTGTGTGTCCTCCTCCCACTGCTTGGCACTTTGCAAGGGAACCTGAGCTACGTGAAGAACACCCCAGCTGAATGACTCTCAGCCATTACCAAAGGAGTCATATCATGTAGCATAAATGTGTTATTATCATCATTACTATAACAATTAAGTCTGAGTTAAGGAGGCAATGAAATGAACACCCGGCTTAGGAACACATCTAGCTTATTATGATGGCCTTTAATACTTCCAAGACGTAAATACCGATTTCTAGATCCTTTAAAACACTGTGGTTTTACAAGATAATGATCCAGCAGCAAAACGCTCACTTTCATCTAAATGCTGACATGGAAAGGTTTTAGTCTGAGAGATGAAATGTTCTGCTTTAAAAGCATGTTGACAATGAATTAACTGCAGAGACATCTTGACGTAACAAAGACTACAAGGCAAAACAAACACGAGCTGCTGCTTTGTGTAAGGTGGTTTCAAAGGCTCCTTGTGTGTTTATACATCTGAGGCTTAAGAACAGAAGGTGAGCAGCAGTCTTTAATCTGGAATGGAGACAAAGCCACAGAGGTGCCTGTATGGAAGGGCTGTGGGAATCTGCTGGAGCAGGAATGGGCTTGGAGACATCAGGTCTCTTCAGTATAGCCACATATCCCAAGGGACTGAAGAAGCAGATCAGTGGAGAGCATTTTGTGTCACTACAGAAGTGTCTCTCTTGACACCTCTAGTGCCTAGCAAATATTAACTGCTCCTCAGTGACAACTCTCTTGACTGATGAGCACTGCTCTCAGCAGAGGAGACAGCATGAGGAGGGAGCACCAGCAGCGTCTGCAGCAAATCAGTGACACTTTAATTAAACCCAGATATTCCAGTCTACATTTGCTAAGGGTTTGATGGTTGGTATTATCACCAACATTTCTTTCTGGGTTTTTTAGAAACTGAGTCCCAGTTAGTGTCTGACACTAAAGAGCAAATATATGCCAGGGGAAATCAGCAAACACACCAGACTTCAGCTCCTGAAGTCTTCCAACCAGCCATGGCAGGAGAGTTATTAAGCAAAAGCATCTGCCCCAGGAGGGCCTATTCTTGTCTCTGAGCCTGGAGTCCCTGGGTCTCCAGCCAGCAGGTCCTTGCTCAGGAGACTGTCTTGACAAAGCACTCAAGGACCTCCGTGAGAAACAGGGAAGGACCTCTACAAGCCTGGATATTCTAACATTACAGCTGCATTCCAAACTTGGCATGACAAAGGAGTAAGCAGCTCAGGGCTGATCTCAGCCCAAGAGGTGTTTCTTCCCTGGTCCCTATAAATATGGGCCAGATCCCAGACGCAGTGGGCCTGTTGTTCTATTCTGACATCTGAACAACCTGCTTTGGAAACACAGAAAGGCATCTGTACTTGTCCACATGAGACAGCTGAAGGAGCTAATGCAGGTGGGAAAGCCTGTGCCGGTGTTGGCTTGCTGATGGACTCATGGCCATTCTCAGGCTCCTCTCTCAGGTGTTTCAGCTACAGGAGCTATTTGGGGGCCTGTTCTTTCCAAGACGATCTCTAGTCCATTCAGTTCTCCAGTGATGTAATGTGCATCTGTACCTTAAAACCTCTTGGATGTTCTGGGCAGAAGGGAAGAGCCTCGGTAAAGGCCATGAAAGGCTGGTGCATGACAGTAGACACCTCTCCATATCCTTGATGAGTACTAGACTTTTCCAGGCACTTAGGAAACACCCTGCTGCTGGCTGAGATAGACCAATGGCAACTCTAGGGCAAGGGAACATAATGACAGCCTTTCCATTTCTGAAGGGAAGAGGCAACAAAGGAAGGAAAGTAGTCACTCAAGGTGACACAAAGAAACTCAGATAATGGAGTACCTGATGTCCAGTGAGGAGGAGGAAAGCTTCTGAACATGGCAAGAACAGAGCAAGATTCATTCCTAGGTTAAGTGATGATAAACCCCACAGCGCAGATTTCTGGCATGTGTGTATTTCCTTTTCCTTCTTCTACAAACTGTGTTTGCTGTGAGAGCCCAAACACACCAGCCTGAGAGCAGGGATGTTCCAACCCCACTCCTGCAGTGCAGGGGTTTGATGGGCAGGGCGAACTCCTGCCTCTGAAGCACAGAAGAGGAAAAGCAGAGGTACAGCCAATGTGGTCTGGCACACAGGGTCTACAGGACCAGCCATTCACTACTAGACTTGTCCCAAGCTCTCTGAAGTCCACCAGGCCTCTGGCAGCTGCCAGGGATCTTTCTCTGCTGAGGAAGACCAAGCTCCAGTCCTGACAGAGGCTGAGGGACTCCCTAAGGTGCTTGGCCCAGCCGTAAAGAGGGGCTGCAGCAGTGGAAGCAGGTGTGCCTGCAGCAGCAATGGTGCCAGCCTCCGCTGGTGGATCGGAAAGCTGGGCTGGATAGGGTAGTGGTACCAGGCAGCATCACAGCCACAAACTCTGCCAGTCACAACCCCAAAAGAGCCACTGAGGAACACTGTAATATATGATTAGTCAAGTCACAGCTGGTATCACAAACTGCTTGGACAAATCATAGGGGTCCTGTAGTGTCATGGCACAGACAAACAGGTCAACACTAATAAGGCAACCTGTATCTACAAGACCTTCTACCCTCAACAGCTCCACAATGGAAGCCCATATTCTCCCACTGAAGGTAGAGAAACACCCTTCATTTCTCTGGTAAGATGAGCTATAGAAGTAGCACTATAATTGATGCTACGAGCACCAAAACCACCCCAGAAAAACAAAAGAGTAGGAGCTACTTACATATTTCCTTCAAAGCTCTTACTTAAAGCCTCAAAAAGCTTCATCTGGAATAGGGACACGAGAGATGCTTTGATCCCTTGAGCCTCCTTGTCAGAACACACACTCTAGCATCACAGCAAGAAGCACCAAGATCTTGGAAGACTATTGTCAAAGGTCACAAAAACATGGTTATAAGTCCTTTAACAAATGTTTGTTCATTTTGTTGTTGCATCCACGATTACTTCATAGCCTCCTGGAATATGCCTCTGATCTCCCAGAAAGCCAGGTGAGATTAAACAGGTGGGAAATGGCTCTGGCTGTACTTCCAGTAGTCTTTAGCTGCCAACAGCTTTGGGAAGCCAGCGATCAGCACAGCCTTCGGATGAGCCACAGAGGAGCTCCCCAAAGTCAGACTTTTTAGTACACACCTAGGAAACTTCTGGTGGAATAAAGGAAAAGGAACCAGCAGGTAACTGAAGAACCTGAATGCACCAAGCACTTGCACACCAAGACAGCGAGCAGGCGGCTCCATAACATGCTTCATGACATTTCCAGCCTTTGACATGACTCCAAATGTATCAGAGACACGAAGAGTGACTCGAACTACAGTGATTCGCTGTGTGCTCAGGCACCACTGGGCAGCAGCTCTGCAGGAGTGTTTGGGAGAGAAGCAAAGGAAGACCAAGTGCAGAAGGACAGTGAGTTCTGGAGGAGATATCTCCTCAGCCCAATTCCTTCTGAATCTTCCAGAAACACACTCCTTTGACAAGGGTGCACATCAAAGCACTGTCTGCAAATTCAAAACAATCTATGATGTTTTTTTTTCAGAAGAAAAAAAGTGATAACATGAAGATGTTCACTTCCCTAACAGAGCAGGATCGACACAAAGTCTCACATGCAACTCACACACACACAGCCGCCAGAGCCAAACCTCAGCATGGCTTTTCATAGTTTGCCACTATCCAAATAACGGCGGTATGGGACATATACTTCCTGCAAAGAGACACACTGGTTGTTCCACACTGGGTGGAACAACACAACTGGCCTGCTACTGCAATGCTCTGCTTGCATCTTAATACAGGTCCCAGAGGTTGACAGCTGTAAGTGCCCCATACTCATGCTCTCGCTTATGGACTGTTGCAGCTCAGAGCCATGGACAAGGGACGCACTAAGTAACCAACTGCTTATGTTAGTGGGGTGATTTGCAGGTCCTTTGTTCATGTTCATGAATATGGTGGCTCCAGAAAACCACTTCCTGTCCTCTCACCCCTGCTGCTCACTGTGCTTTACAAAACACAACAGATGGAAGACGGCAGGCATCAATGCCAAAGTATGGGCTGCAGGACACATGCTTCAAGATCAGCCCATTGTGACAGAGAACGAAACCCTTCAGTTCTCCAAAGCAGCTCAGCTGTGCAAACCTGAAGCAGAGGGAGCCAGAGGTGGGAAAGGTTACCCCTCCATTTCCCCTGCTCTCAGCCACCAGCTCTGTCCCTCAGACTCAGTCAAGTTGTCGTGATTCCTTCTGACCTGACCAAATGACTTGCATGTGCCCGAAACCCAAAATGATTGACAGCCTTTCCACTGTTATCCTCACTTGTGTAATTGCAGCAGCTGTTCTTGTACATTGAAATGTCTAATCTTAGCAAGCCACAGAACTGCTCGGGAATATAGACCAACCGGGAATTTCAATGCAATTACTCACCACAGCTACTGGCACTTACTTTGGCTGGTAAAAGTCTTTCTTGTCTGCTGACCCCAGGCTCTGCAAGACACAAAAGACAGATGTATTGTTTTAACTCTTGCCAAGCAAGTATCATTGATGAAGATGTGGTGAACAGGAGAAGGCATGTGCTTTTGGTTGCCCAGTGGTGTGGGCTGGCTGGACAGGCAGTTAGGACCCCAGCCAGTGAACATGCTGTGGGCAGAGGCCAGGCAGCCAAGAATGTAAAAATGAAGAGTCAAAGCAGAGGTGTAGAGATGCATTAGGTCTGAACCCAATGTATGCATCATGTCTGCATCTCCCATTGCTTGCAGAAGTACGGCCCCTTATGTTAGGAGGGGACTCCCCTGGGGAACCCAGGGGTGACAGGCCTGCTTTGGGCACATACCCAGGTACGTGTATGCCACAGACCCTTCTCTGGATGCACACGAGGGTATGTGAATGCCACGCACAGAGAGCACGGACCCATCGCTGTGCCTTGTCCTACTGCCTGACAGGGCTACAGGCACCCACATGCACCCAAGTCTGTACCCCAACATGCCGTGTCCCAGAGGCACCCATGGCTGAGGCTGCCCTGAGACCTCAGTTCTGCTTGCCAAGCACAGACGGGCCCCCGCTACCAAGGAAGGTAGAGATAGACCAACCGACACCACAGATCTGAGTGTCAGCAAGCCATTGCACCGTCAGAGCCCTCTCTTCCTCCTCCTCTTGGGGATGGTCCTTACCCTCGTGCTGTGCTGTGCTGTGCTGGGGGACCATGGGCAGCATCACGGGCTGGCCCCAGCACTTGTCAAGGTTCCGCTCCCGGTCCCTGCACGGGCACCAGGCGGGTGCCGGTGTGAGTGCACGCTCGCAGGAAGCACGATGGGACTCTGGGGCTGCTGTTGTAGTTTTGCTCCGTGGTTGCCAGGCAATGGCGAGCCTGAACGCCAAAGCAGCGGGGCCGAATGCTAATGAGGGGAGCGGAATTCTCCCGGCGCTCTCCAAAGCAGCCCAGCGCTCCCACCCTGGCACTGAAAAGCGAGGAGGGAGAGGAGGGCCCCGGCTTTTAAGCTGGTGGTGATCCACAGTCGCCACAACATCCCCTCGTCTCTGGCCAAGCCAGTGAGATGGGACCGTGGTTTGGTGGTGGCTGACCCTTCCCACAGCATGGAGGTGTTTGTTGACACCAGCATGGGGAAGCTGCAGCCAAACCCGCAGTGCAGGGTATCTTCGTCTGGGTATGTACTGTCCTCTTACACATCTCATGGGCACACACCAGAGCTCCATCCTGGGATAGAGCTGGGAGCGTACAAGGAGCAGTCCTTGGGGTGGGCAGATCTCATCTGCCCACTTGCCAATTGCCATGTGAGTCGCAAAATCTCTGCGCAATCCCCACCACTAGCAGGATGCGCTACACAAGCACCCTTTGGCTCTCCCCACTGCTTCCCGGCCTCTGACATGACAGCAGCAAGAAGCCACCACAAAGCCCTATGGGATCAGTGGCCAAACACTGGTATGGGGTGGTCCAACACTAGCACAGGCTGTCCAGAGAGGTGCTGGAAACATTCAAAACCCAGCTGGGCATGGTCATGTCCACATGGTCACGGGCATCAAGGAGAACCCAGTGCAGTGATGCTGCCTTGAGCAGGAGGTTGGACTGGGCGATCTCCAGGAAATCCCAGATCTCCTCAACCACTCCATGCATTCCTGAAGCAACAGAGAAACAAGCACAGCAGTAACTGCACATGCCTTGAGCAATAGCACCTGTCCTCCAAGCCCACAGCATGTGCAGAACACCTCCACTTCCTCAGACACAGCATTCCCATGAGATATTTCCTTACTTATTTAAACCTGACACCTAAAAACAAAGATGCTGGTTCCCAAACTATGGATAAGCTGCAACAAGGTTCACAAGCCATGACAAATCCAGCTCCTTCTGCTATCTCTGTTAGCAGGGATCACAGAGAACTGATGATACTTGAGGAGAAACCACTTGCAAACAGCTTCCTCAGTGCTATTGAAACAAGAAGTGGGAAACCAGCATGCCCCAAGTCAGACCCTCCACCCACCCGCAGCTGAGGCCCATGGTCCCATCAACCCCATAGCAAGGTCCAGACAGCACCTGACCTTTCTGGTAACTAGTAACAGCAGAAAACAACATTGAGACTCTTCTACCTTTCTAAAGCACTGGGGTAACTATCACTATCACCAGCATTCCCAGCCCAGGAGACAACAGAATCTGCAGCAGTGATGGGTGCCACAAGTGTTAACCTCCTGAAGGTGCAGGTATTTGAAGCCAAACCATAATGATGGGAAACCACCTGGAAACTTGGGAGAAAAAGAAAGTCCTGCAGGAAAAAGAAGGTCCTGCAGGAAGCACCGTGGCTATGAGCCATGAGTAGGATGAGCTGTACAAGTATGCTGAGAGAAGGGGCTGTCTCAAGTTTATCAAGCAATTATTTTTCAACAGTCAAAGAAAACTGAGAAGGTTTTATATATCTGGAATAAAAGAGAGAGGCATTAATTTTGCGGAGAGGGGAAAACACCCCAGTGAAACAGGGACTCAATGCAGCAATGAATAGCCAAAATAGCTGACTAAAGCTTTCTGAGAAAATAGCACATGAGGAGGAAAAGCAGATGTGTGACACAGCAATGTGTCCAAGGAATTGGGCCTGCAGCAAGGCCAGGAGCTGTGGATCAGCTCCTGGCTCTACCACCACCCCAAGGTCTGGTCTTCAGCCATTTCTTCCCTCTTCATGCCTCAGTTTCCCCATATTGCCCCTGCACAGCCCTTTGCCTCCTTACTCTTCCCAGAAGAGAAAGGGACTATGCCCAGCAGTCAGATGAAGTTACACAGGTCCATCCTACCATGTTGCATTTCTTGCACCAAGCTGGTCTAGTGGAAGGTGTCCCTGCCCATGGCAGGGGGTTGGGACTGGATGAGCTTTAAGGTCCCTTCCCATGCAAACTGCTCTGGGATTCTATGAAAACCAAGTTGGCTGTGGATCCAGAGAGCTCCAGGAGAGTGGCAGGAAAGCACTTGGCCACAAGAATCACCAACAAATGGAGCAGAGCTTTCTGGAAGCTGTTAGCGGTGATACCTGGGCAGGAGAAGGTGGTCAGGGCAAGCAGGAAGACCAAGGCAAGAACACGTTTTTGAATGCCTCTAAATGAGATCCTCATGAAGAAGAAGTGAGCATACGTGGTGTCACAACAGCAGCCACAGACAGGGACCTTCCACCGAGCTTAACAGACCACATAGAGGATAAACCAAATACTTTGATAAATGCAAGTAAAGCAGTGCAGAGCCATTGGCAGGAGGAAGAAGGTGAGAAGAGGGAGACCGTGGGACACCTTGGGCTGGCCTGACTTTGTGCAGCAGTTCACTACAGGATATAGTTGTAGTAAAAACATGCCCAAGGCATTTTGCCCAGGGCAGGAACATCACAACAGCCATAACTATTCTATGATTCTATATTCTATGACTGTCCAGGAGCACTGCAAGAGCTCAGAGCAGCACCTGGAAAGATCCTCCCAAGCAGGGGAGCTGGTCTCCACTGATGGATTGAGGGTATTCACCTGAAAGCACCCAGGGTGATGGGTAGCTCTGGGCAGGAGCTGCCTGCACAAAGGGGCAGCAGCTGAAGCATCTCCCCAGGGGCAGCAGCATGGGCTGTGACAGTGCCACCAGCCACCACTCCTGTCTCACCACACTGGGTATCACAGAATCAGGTAGCATCCTCAGGAGAGCAGGATTATGGAGAAGTCAAGGGAAGGACAGGACATAAAGGAGCCGGGTAAAGGGAACATACAGCCTGGATCACAGGGAAAATGTCTTGGCACTGAACTTAAACTGAGTTGGAACCAACTCCAGCAGGAGAGATAGAGCAGGGCTTCAAAAGGCCTGCACAAAGCCAGCTAGATAAACCAGCACAGAGGGGACAGTCACTGGCTTTCAGGGAGCTGGGCCTGGTTTTCCTTTTTCTGCCTGTGCCTGAGGACTAAAAGAGGCAGAAAGCTTCCCAGAATGAGCAAAAGGCAACCTGGCATTTTCCTCTGATTTCTGGGAGGAAAGACCAGTTCCTCCGGAACTGATATGGGATCTGGAGGCTTTAATCTACACAAGTATATGATAAAACAGATGCCTGCACTGTTGGCTGATCCACAGGCTTCTACAGGAGCATTGTCTGCTGGTGGCTCCTGTGTATCAGGGCATGGGAGGGGACTCCAGAGAGGCACGGCTGAGTGTGTGTTCAGCTCCCAGAATAGATCTGGGCTCCCAGAGAGCTCCTGCTGCTGCTCTGGATGCTAGGGAGACTCTTGGCATTGCTGAGAGGGAAGGAGGGAGGATGGGAGAGAGCATCCCCTGGTTCATGAGTCCCCTGCAAGCCCCAAGCCCCAGTGCAGTGTGAGTCACACTCCGGCGGGACCTACTGTGCTGCTCCTCACTTGCTCATTTCATTGATGACTCAGGATTTAGGAAGCACATTTTAAATCCCTTAATGAAATAATGGAGAGAGTAATTTTGATCCACGTGTCTTTCTTTTTAAAACAAACACTTCAAGCGAGGGTTGCGCCCATCTCCACTCTTTCCTGCCCAGACATGGAGGCAAGTGGCGGTGGGGACTGGGCACCTCAGAGACATTTGGAAGGGCAGGAGCATACTCACTACCCTGCACATGGAACTGGGCATGGCAGCAACTGAAACCCTGCCAGGCAACAACCTCTATTCCTCTGGCATTCAGGGGCAAGGAGAGGGAGATGGGACACCAGGACACTGTCCAAGATGATGTCCTCAGAACCTGGCGGTGTTCCCAAGCACCTTGCTCACCCCTAGTGTGTGCCTTCCAAGTGCCATCTCTTTCGGATTCAGCCAGGCACCATCTTTAATCTCCTTCCTCCCAGGCAGAGGCAGTGGCAGAAGGAAATGTGGGTGCCAAGCCCACAGCTCCTCCGTGCAGCCTGCCAAGAAGCAGGATTACCTGCCAGTATGGTTAAGTGTTGTCTCAAGGTCATTCCACAGCTACCCTCTGCCCCTCCCCACACAAGAATCATAGAAT